TATATATATATATATATATATATATATATATATATATATGTACATGTATTTACCCTGCTGTGCCTAAAGACCCCTAGGTGGTTAAGGAACAGAAATAACAAAAATTAAACACCATTGGATTATAAGGTCATTCGTGGTGCTAGGCATATGCAGACTAAGCTATTTCTTAGGGACCCTGAGCAGCTCAATGTATTTTATTTGATGTAGTCATTAACTTTTTTACAAAGTTTTATCCACAAATTGGATTCAAACCTTCAACTTGCACGACAAAACATGATGGCTTTTACTGCCAGGCTATGCTGGCTTGCGATAAGGGTGAGGATTTTCCTATCTATGCTTAATCATGAACATTCCTGACTTTAGGGCCTGATTTTTCCTTGAAAACACCATATGGAATAAAATAGTTTTTGGATTTGGATTCATGACATAAAAATGCACCAATGAAACTTTATTCTGAGCATTGTTGGATGTAACAAGTGTTAGAATGTATTGAACATTATCATTAACTCTGATGATGGTAAAATGTATGTTATAAAACATTATTTAAATTGAAAAAAAAGACTTAAATGGTTGTATAACTGGTAAAGAAGATTCAAACTTACATGTATCAATGTTTCCAACTTAAATGTTAGAGTATAGCTATTCCAATTTAAAATTTAAGGAGGTTTTACTGATTTATAACAGTCTACTGAGCATGTTATTTTAGAGGCTTTCCTAACTTTTTCCTTAGGGCTTGCAGGTTTTCTACCCATTCATCCTCTCAGCTACATGAAAGCATGGCGTAATCGTAGAAAAGCAAATGCTCAAGCTGGTGAAAATCAAACTTTGTCATCAGAAATTTCTTCAACAAGAGAAGAAGGTCTTTCATGAACATCTTCAGTTTACTGTATTTTGTATATAAGAAATATAACTGCAATTTTTAGATCAGATTTCTTGTTTGGAAAAAAAAAAGTATTGTAGAACTTCATAATCCATATATACAAATTCCCTTTTGTTTAGGTAATTCAATTAATTAAAAATGATACATTGATCATTACAAATGGTGTAGTGTGCAAATGTCTTGACTTAATATATATGCAATAAAATTTATTTCACAATTTACCAACTAAGGAATCATGCTTTGCTAGTTCTGGTGTTAAACACCAAAAGATTTGATTTCACAAGATTTTGTTTCTAATTCACAGTTTTCATTTTAAATGCAGATGTTTTTCTAGAATATACTGCTGTATCATATGAACTGGTAGTTCTTTCTAAATTTACAAAAAAACTTCTAATAACCTAAAATGGATAATATATTTCATCTTTTCACATGAAAGTTATTTAATATGTAAAAAAGGCCTTTTGCAAAGTTTCACTTTATCCTAATTTATCTTATCACTTAGCTTGGTTAATCTGGTAAAAAAAGAAAAATTGCTTCTTTTCACCAGCAACTCATCACATTGAAAATGGTATGGAAATTGTTAATTTGAGTGATTGTCTGGAAATTGGGAAATATTGATTCCATTGAAGAAGAAAAAAGGACATTTTATTTATTTTTTATTGCTACTTATACTGTTTCTTGAACTTAACTAATAAATATTTTTTACAAATCAGTACTAAGGTACATTTATTAACTACAACTTTTGAAAAAAAAATATTTTCATGGTAATGCCAGTGACCATTATGGTAACACCAATGACAAAATGTAGTTATATGATTTAATAAGAATTTTACTGGGAATAATGGTAGTTTCTTCATATAATTTCAAATGTATTTAAGAATAATTAATTTTGATAAACCTTTAAGAAGTAAATATTGGTAATACCAATGACTGAGGTGAAGCCCATTACATCTAGCTAACTTTTAAAGAAGAAAAATGCCATGATGAAATGCACATAATAATAATATCCATGTAAAAAGAAAGTATATCATGACTGCCAGCGCATTCTGTATTTTTTAAAAAACCCAAAAAAGTTTACAACATACATCCATTTTATATCTTCATATTTTCCATTACTTTTTTGAAAAGTCATCCTATTGTGGGTAATATTAAACCAGGATAGAATGAATATTCTTAAAAAAAAGGATTTTCATCACATTCAGTATCATTCTTTTACACTTTATAATTACAACTATTCATTTATGTTGTATAGTAAATCTGATGATGATTCCTGAAGGGAGTATAAAGTTAACTCCATTAAATGAATTTGGAATGGATGTATGAATATGCTGAAAATTCGTTTTTTAAACATTTTCATTCAGTGACGAAACTTTGTTCAATGGACGGCAACTGCCTGTTGTAGAAACACAAGTGTAGAGGACGATGTTTTCAAAGTCTTCCTCTTTTTGTCTTCAGGTCAGTGTAGTTGGTCTTTATAGTATACTGGTGGATTGTGGAGAGTGTATTATGATTGGTTGGTTTATTCCTGTTTCTGATTGGAGAGGAGATTTCCTGTAAATTCAACCAGTGGACCCCACAGGTTACTCACCTCTAATCTGGAATCTCTGTTTAGTGAAGGTTTTTTGTGTTAATATAAAATGATTCTTTAATTTTTCTTCTCTTGACTGTTTATGATTGTAGTTTTTTCCCAGTTTATTTTATGTCCAGTTGACATGGTGTGTTCTACAATGGCTGAATTTTGTTTTCATGAATCTAGTACTGTGTTTATGTTCTTTTATTCTTTGTTGCAAGTCTTCTTCCCATTTCTCCAATGTATGTTTTTTTGCAAGAACACAGAATTTCATAAATGACGTTTTAATGTTTCTCCTTGGTAGGTTGCTGTTTACTTTTTACCAGAATGGACCTTAATGTCTTGTAGGATTTCCACCGGACTTCTTTGTTGAATTTCTTGGCTATTCGTTTGAGTTTTTCACTGAAATTTTGCAGGTAGAGGAAGTAAATGGTAGTAGTTGTAGTGTTTTTCTTATCTTTTCTTTCTATTGTGGTCTTCTTCAGGAATGATGAAGGAGGAGGTGTAACCATTATGTTTAATACACTCTAAGATCTTTTGGCATTCTGTTTCGATGGATGTCTTATCATAAATGTTTTCTGCTCCCTTGTTTAGGCATTGGATTATACCACCTTTCAGTGAGGTTGGATAATAGGATTGGAGGTGTAAGTATCTGTTCATGTGGGTGTGTTTTCTGTATACGGTTGTGGTGATTTTTCTCTCTTGTCTGCTGATGAGTATGTCAAGAAATGGTAATTTGTTTTGTTCCTCTATTTTCATGGTGAAGTGGATTATGTTGTCTAGAGAATTAAGATATTCTAGGAAGGCTGGTAAGTTTTCATAACCGTGGGGCCAAATAACGAAACTGTCGTCAACATAACGTCTGTAGAAACTTGGTTTTATATGTGTGGATGAGAGGGCTCTTTCTTCAAATTCTTCTATGAAAATGTCTGCTAATATTGGAGAGAGAGGTGATCCCATAGCTAGACCATCTGTTTGTTTGTAGAGTTCCTTGTTGTATTGGAAATAAGTTGATTGTAGGCAAATAGTCATTACTTCCAGGATGGCATCTATCTTTATGTCAGTTCTGTGTGGTAGAGAGTTGTCATTCAGCAGTCGTTGTCTGGTGATGTGAAGGGTTTCTGAAATTTTTGTGATGTCTGTAGTTTCTTATGAATTAAAAACTTAAATAGATAGACAATAAATGGATAGACAACATTCAAAAAGAAAAAATGCACAAGCAAATTATTACTTTAAATAAAGAAATCTGATATTTTGTTTACAAAAGCCTTGTAATGTTTATTGATGATCTGCAAAATTTGATGAAGATACGCATACTGTATTAAAAGTTATAGTATGAAAACTATAATAAGCACAAAATGGTTATGAGGTCGGCCCCTGGGACCAAGCCCATAGTGAGAGAGGTATCTGACTTGGCATGTCAGTTGTTTTGATTTTGACGTCTGTTACTTTTAGTATTCTTACCTTAGACAGCATGAATGTTATATTTTCATATACTTTACACAAACATTTATTTTTATCTTTAGGAATGACAACATAGAACAGTTACAATCAAGAGGTAAAATATTGACAGTATTGGGTGTTCAGAGAGGAATTGTTAATGCAGAACCTTCAGAGTTTCTATGATAAATCTTTTTTCATTTTTTCTTGTTATGGTGAGTTTCTTGCTGTTGTGCAAGAAAAACTTTCACATTTCAGTATCAACTTTACTACTTTTCTTCATCTTTGTGTGCAAATTTTTGTGACAAATATGTTTATTCCAAATGCATTTCTTACTAAGGTACCTGAAGTGTTCCTTTTCGTTGTGTTTCTTCTTGGCTTTCTATTTATTTATTTTTTTTAAAGTTTAGAATGTAATAATATTTATTTTGTGAAAAAGCATTTCACACCTCACATTATATGGGACCAAGGCATATAAGATATTTTTCCACATTGTTCTTGGAGATTATTTGTCTAGATGTTTTGTTATAACTATTTCTTCAGCTTTAATATGATTGCTTCAAATCTTTTAACTTGCTTGTTTTCAATTTATATCCTCTCTATGTCTCTCCTTAATAACTTTCTTCTTTTTCTGAGGTGAATAACCTAAAATATCTTCATTTCTGATTTAACACTGTGCTTTCCTAGATTCTTCTTTTTTCTTGAATATTTTTTAAATCTACAGTTACTTTTATTTATTTACCACTGTTTTATTTTACTCTTTTTATTTTTAGTATGTTCATTAATTGATTTATACTCTCTCTTGTAGGCTTCTCTTTCTTTTTTAACACTCATCGTATAAGCCAATGGGGCCTTTTTACTATGAGAATGTTGATTACCCAAATTTTTCCAATGAGAAAACTGATAAAAACCATGTATTTAGACATATCTTGAACCAAATAACTCTCACAACTTTTTTTTTACAAGATTTTAATAAATATTTTAAAAGTAAAGGTGCTTTGTTTCCATTCGGATGTGCATAGTAAACCACATAGGCATGGTAATACAATTATTATAGGATAATAGCTGTTTGACTCTTCTTCTGTTGCTGTGACTGCATTCAAGAAACTAATGACTTCAGATGATCATCACTTGGGAAATTGTTATTGTGAACATTTGCATAATGTTTTATTGATGTATCAAAATATTATAAAAAAATTGTTCAATGCATCATTTGGATTACTTTTTGAATGGTAACCCAACTGAGAATACAAACATTTCTTTTTCATTGTTTCCAAAGCCATGTAGCTATTGAAAAACATATTACTGTACACTAAGATATTTATAACAAATCTAATAAAACAATAGCTTTGTGTTTAGAAGACTTATTTTTGGTAAACCCAATTATTAAGGAAACATACTGGACTGAATTCTTAATAAAAAAATGTAAACAGACACACTAATTTCAGACCAACCTTCCTCTTGTTTGTGCACACACAGTGCTATTGAAGAATACCACTGGAAAATTATTTCCAATATCCTCAGAGATAGTAACTCAACTGATGGTTTCTGTAATACACTTACCTTCTCTCACACTTTAGCTTTATCCTGACAAAGGTTTCTTTTCTCTGCCCATCTAACAGTTGGTATGAATTATATTGCTCTAGTTCTTATAACTCAAGTGCTTTTGAAAGGTGGACCTTTCTTCTTCAGGGGCAAACTGGGATTCCTGAAGAGGAAAGGTCAACCTTTAAAAAGTGCTCAGGTTATAGGATTTTTATCATCTTGTATGAAGACTTTTTGAAACTATTTGTTTTTCTGACATCATGAATTGCTCCTGTCCTTATAACCTACTATATTGGCCATAGCAATTTTAATCCTATAACTACTGTGTGCTGAGATTCATAGCACCTGATGTCTCTCTTGTAATATTTTGTTCCAAAACTAAAACAAGTGGGTGAAATAGTTTAAAATTAGACAAGAACTTTCCTAAAAGTATATAATTTGAGAAAAATAAAATATTCAATATTGATTTTTTCTACTTTTCCACCCAGCTCATAACAAGGAAAGTATCTATGAAAGTAATTGTATTATACTTTTGGAAAATGTATGCAAGTCTACAAAATTTTGCTGATTATTAGTAAACATTACAAGGATTTCATACACAAAATATT